CGAGGTTCTTTGCTCGTTCCCGAAAGTTCGACATCTGCAGCTGTATGACGCCTCAAGGGTGAGTGGAGGAGGACGAGGACGAGGACAAGGACGAGGACGAGGACAAGGACGAGGACAAGGACGAGGAAGAGGACGAGGACGAGGAGGAGGAAGAGGAGAAGGACGAGGACGAGGACGAGGACGAGGACGAGGACGAGGAGGACGAGGACGAACACGAGTTGTTGATGATGAGATGAGAGGATATGATTTGCAATTCCCATGGTTTGCTCTGTGTTATGTTCTTCCTCCTATGCCGATGAAAAGATGCAACTTGGTTTTCACCACGACCACACCTTTGTTGTTTCCTGAAATCATATCTCATCGTATTTCACTTGCTCTATGACATTATGACATCTCACTTGTTCTTTTCTCCCAACTTCTGACAATCTTTCAGAAACTTTACGTCAAATGCAGCAGCTCGCAGGAGGCAGCGCTCAACATTCCGTTGCGGGCGCATGAGCTCAACAGACCGCTGGTGGGAGATTTGCTCGTGCTCAAGTACGACTACTACGGTAAGCCGACGAAAGGAGCAGGAGCAGGAGCAGGAGCAGGAGCAGGAGCAGGAGCAGGAGCAGGAGCAGGAGCAGGAGGACGAGGGAGGAGGACCAGATAGGGGTTGAGTAAATGACCACCAGCAGGAAGAGGACGATTATGATGATGATGATGATGAGGAGGAGGAGGAGGAGAAGGAGGAGGAGGAGGAGGATGAGGATTAGGAGATGGATGTGGGGGGGTCAAAGGTCATTGAGGGGGGTGAATGAGCAGGAGGGAGGAGGAGAGAACTTGCCTGAGGGGTTTGCAGGAGGGGAGCAGGGAAAGTCGAGCATAAGGTGGACGAGGATACATCGGCGGGAAGAGAACAAGGAGGAGGAGATGGTTCTGGAGAATGTTGGATTTCTATCTTCTCCTCTCCCTCCTGCTTACTTGCTCCAGTCCCTCGAGTACACCGTCAGCATGCGCGATCATGAGTGCCAGCTGAGGGTAGAGGTAAAGCCACGTCCTGCTTCTTCTTCTTCTCCTCCTCCTCCTCCTGCTACTGCTGCTGCTGCTGCTGCTGCTGCTGCTGCTGCTGCTCTCTCACTCATATTCAGGTCATTCCGGCACGAGCCGATGGCAGTGTCGGTCATGCCGTCGTGCTGTTTACGCCTCTCATAGGCATCGACTGTCACTATAGCAGGTGTTCTCCTCCTGCTCCTGCTCCTCCTGCTCCTCCTCCTCTTCCTCATCACTGCTTGCAGCAAGAAGCATGCGCATATCCTCGGACTCTGCCCCTACCAGATGCGGCTAGTCGAGGAGCTCTCCTTCCCCAACAGGGAGGAGGAGGACGACGCTCGTTCTTTCCTTCCTCTCTCTATCTTCTCCGAGGTCCTAACCCTGCTTTGCTCCTGCTGCTTCTGCTCCTGCTGCTCCTGCTGCTCCTGCTGCTCCTGCTCCTGCTCCTGCTCCTGCTCCTGCTCCTGCTCCTGCTCCTGCGCCTGCTCCTCCCTCGCTCACTCTCGTTGCAGACGTCAAGCAGGAGGCGGTAGGAGAGTGACCAGGGTTGGGAGGTAGGAGAGAAAACAATGAGAAGTTGCACAATGGACTTGAATGAAATTTCAAAGACAACAAGGGGAGGTAGGAGGCAAGAAACAGGAGGACGAGGAAGGAGAGGAAGAGGAGGAATGGAAAAAGAGGAAAGAAGAAGCTCCTAGCCCTCGCCCTCGCCCTCGCCCTCGCTCCCTTACGGAGCAAATGTAACTAGCAAGTGTCGAAGCAAAGAGTGGAAGGCATGCAGAGGATTCATTTATGCTCCCGAACGTCAAGGATTGCGCTGCGAAGGTGGTGGGGGAAGGATGCGGGAGAGGAGGAAACAGGAGGATGAGGGTAGGAGAGGAGGAAACAGGAGGATGAGGGTAGGAGAGGAGGAAAAAGGAGGATGAGGGTATTGGAGGCCGCCAGAGGAGGAAGTGGAGGAGCAGGAGGAGGGTAGTTGAGTTAGCTTCCCGCTCTATCTTCTTCATTCTCAACTTCATGAATAAAACGATTAGTCGACGTCCGCCATGGCCACGTCCTTCTCGCTGAACTTTCCCTTGCTCTTGTCCTTGTCGGCTCCCATACGTCCAGCCTGATCCACGTTGTCAGTCTCCTCCTCCTCCTCCTCCTGTCTCCTCCACAACCCTCCTCTCTCTCCAGTCCCTTCCCCTTCCTCCTCCTCACCTTCTTGCGGTCGATGAGCGACTTGCGGTCCTTGTCGAGCTTGAGCTTGGTGATCTCGACGTTGGAGGGATGGACGGGGACGGGGACTTGCGCGCCGTTCATCTTGTCGTGGTTGACTCCCTGAAGGTGGATGCAGTAGCGTCTGCGGTAGACAGCGACAACTTTGGCGGGAGGAGGAGAGTTCTTGGCGAGAACACCCCTCATGATCCTGACCTCATCGTCCTTGCGGATGGGCAGGGAGCGAACCTGCGCAACGAAGGTGAGGAGAGGAGAGGAGGAAGGAGAGGGAAAGGGCGAGAAACAAGACAAGATAGCAGGTAGGAGGGCTAGAAACTAGAAGGGGAGGGGGAAGGAGGAGGCCGGGGGAGCAGAGCAGGAACACAAGAGAAAATGAGGAGGAGAAGCAGGGAGGTCACTCACGCCGTGCTTGGAGCGGAGGTCCTTAGACAAAGTCGCAGACATAACTTTTCTCCTGATGTTGGAAGGAGCGGAGAAATGAGCCTTGCGGCATTTGCGTCGAGAGGAAGACACAGCCTTGTTGAACTTCATCTACACCCGAGTGTGAGACATGAACACAAAGAGATCAATCGTTGTTGTAGTGGACGTTGTTCAACATGATCATTCTAAGATGGCAATGGTTGCTGAATTTTGCACTTTGGCTAGGGAAAACCCAGATAAGATGCGGCATAACGACAACATCTCGATGTCATATCAAGCTGTCCTCACTTGCGCACATGTAAACGTTACAGCTCACTTGAACAATCTGCTTCTGATCGTCGTCTTACAGACAATCTACAGCAGAAGCACAAAGCAACTATATTCTTCCTTGTGTCCACCACTTAGCCCACAGAGGGCTAAGTTGCAACCCCAACAGCGTCATTTAACCACGTCTCTCCATCATCTACCGAATCTTCTGCTTTCATCACCATACTAAGATGTTTCTCCTCCTCATCTCCACCCAAGATGAGTTCCTCTCCTCTATCCATTCTACTCCCACTCCTCCGCCTAGCCCCAACACAGCAATCTCGTCTGCTCTCTACATACACTTGCAATGTCTCAATGACGTTCTTTCTCTCTTCCATCACTCACGTCCATTCAGCCATTTCCCTCCTCTCCTGCCCCCTCCCTACCGCATGATTCAGAAACTCCTCATCTCCTCCGCATACGACACCAGTTCCTCTTCACCACTACCTCTTCCGTACCTTCCTCATCCTCCTTCCCCTTTATCGTTACTCCCACTCCTCCTCCTCCTCCCTCCGCCTCCTCCTCCTCCTCCTCCTCCTCCTCCTCCTCCTCCTCCTCCTCCTCCTTCCCCTCCCCCGCCTCTTCTCCGACATGATTACGCGTGCGACTGAACCCGCACGAGCTCTTTTTTTTTAATCTCATCCCCCTCATCCCCATCCATCATCCCCCTCATTCATTTTACTCATCCCCTCATCCCCATCCATCATCATCCCCCTCATATCCAGTCTCATGTCATCATCTCCCTGATCATCTCCCTCATACACATCGATACCCTCATCCCAGCTCAGACCAATTTCATCACGTGGGACTCACGTGGGACCAGTAAAATAGTAAACTGCGCTCATGCGCGGCTGACATGGTCCTGAGGAGCGAGGGGGTGGTCAAGAGGTCAGAAGCACCCCTCCTATCGACTGTAAATAGACGGTATAGATGATGGGGCTCAGGGATATGACCCCTGAAAGTCGGGATTGCCGAGGTCTTTTGTACCGGTACTATTCAGGAAATAGTCCTGTACATTGGTTGGTGGGGTGGTCGGAGCCAGCATCCCCACCAATTCCCTGCCTTTGGACCCCTAAGGTTCAACCCCTACCCCCCAGCTTGATATACAAGGGCATAGCACCCCTGGGACCAATGATCTGCGTTGACCCAACTTGTGGATGGTTGACCCAGCAACCCTGCTGGTCCATTTCAGTTAACCGTTAAAACGAGTTGTGGTAAAGTGGACCCGACATGTCATTGGTAGGGGTAGTCCAGATGATTACACCACCGGTGATTTAACAAGCAATTTGGTGGAAAAGGACCCGGTACCATTATTTGAGACAGGACGAAATGCAGGATGGCCGCATGGGAGGGTGAGGGTGACTTACGACAGGGTAGGGTGTATCCGATAGAAGTTTCTAGAGGGGTGGGGTGATGCCATTTCAGGGGACGAGGGGGTGAAATGCGAGGAAAGATAAGGGGGTCACAGACCTACTGACATCGGGGGTCATTTCTATGCAGGGGTAGGGGGTGGAGGGTTACCCCCCTACACCTTCATCACATCAAAATGGATGAACAGCAATCAGGAGGAAGGGAAGCAGGAGCAGAAGCAAGAGCAGGAGGAATATGGCAAGGGCGTTTTATTGACACAGGAGTGGAGTGACAGTATGGCAATTAAAGAATTCTCAAGAGCGATTAGGAAAACGTATGCGTAGAAGAGAATTTTTTTGGTGCTGAGGTTTTTCTCGGAACCCTTGTCAGTATTTATGATGATGCAGCTGAGAGGCGATGGATAGACAGGACAGCATACATACCAGGGTCATGTCATACTTTGTATCACTTGAAATGGTCAATGCATTGTAGAGGTTACATGAGATAGGGGTCCTCTGTTGCTTTCCGCAACTATCAATGCGGGTCCATTTTGCTCGACCATCGCGCTAGCTGATCTCATCTGCTTTGCTCAGAGAATCTTGTTGTCGGGGAGTCAGCTTTTGACGAGCACAAGATGCCGTGTGGAGGATTCTTCTGCTTCGGAGGAAACTCCATGAAGGCAACAGTAGAAGCTCCCCTTGCCAAGGCTCCGGCACCTATCCCAGTACCTGTGCCAGAGCCGGCTGCTCCTGCGGGAGGAGGGTGAACCGACGCATGCTCCTTGGCGTGAGTACCCTTCTATAGCTTCTGTCTGCCCTGCTTGAAGATAACTGTTGGTGTGTAGAGATGCCAAGAAGAAGAGGTTGGAAATGCAGAAGAAGAAAGCAGAAGCCGCCGCCGCCGCCGCCGCCGCTGCGGCTGAGAAGGCTGCTGCTGACGCTGCTGTGGGAGGAGAATCTACTTCCGCACCAACCGATGCTAAGGAGCAAGCTGCAACACCCTCGGGGGTTGTGAAAGAGGTGCCTGTGGTCGAAGTCTCATCCAACTAGTCCGACTAGAGGAAGAGCGACGTGAAGGAGGATGGGGATCCAGTACGAATGACTGGTATGGCAGAAAGCGATGAGCTTGCCATACCACGAGCCATGTACCATCCTCTCCTATGGAAGAGCATTTAACATGCAAAACGTAACGGTGTATCATAAAGGTATTTGTTCCTCAACAAAGGCATGATAGTTGCTTCCAACCATTACTTCACTGTTGATCGAACTGACATTGTAAAAACAATGCATCGGGCTTGTTTCCATGTTTAGGATTCCCATGCAAATGTGGGAGAGCTAAATTGATAGCACACAGATCATCGAGCAAGACACATGACTGGATTAGTACCATGATAGTCAGAATGTGCAAAATCTGATCTGGTTTACACATTCCAACTCCGTGGGACTAGTTTGTTTCGCTAGAAAACGCATTCCGAGATGTGAATGTTTGTGCACCTCGGATTTCACCTCGTTCATTAATCTTGTAATTCAAATATTCAAAACATAGGATTTACATTCTCGTCTCAAGAAATCATGGCACAACCCTCACACATCAACTCATAGCACCCGATCAGGTTTGCAGCTATGAGCATCATTCGTGATGGCTGCCCACAAGCCAAGAAAACGAGTGCTGACCGCGGCTATCAGACCGTCGAGCAGCCAAGCACCCTTCATTTATCCAGCACTGACTGTGACCACGGGGGGCTTGTAGGCGGGGAGCTCTCTGCTCCCCTCCAACTTCTGGTTTTCTTTCTCCTGCTGCTGTTGCATCGCAAGTCGCTTCTTCTTTGCGTCCCTGAGCAGAGGAGTGAGCAGGGGTGGAAAGGGGATTCATTCACTCACGCAAGCGAGCAGGCATTGGCAGATCACCCACCCTGTTGAGGCTTTGCTGTCAGTCCGAAGATCTGAAAATTCCAGGAGTAAGCATTAAATCACAAAGCAGGGGTCGATTCAAGACAATATAGCGGTGGTGGTGGTGGTGGTGGAGGAGGAGGAGGAGGTACCTTGCGATAGATCTTCTTGATCAGCGGCCTAATGAATCACTTCATTTCGAAAAGATTCACTGGACCCTTAAAAGGATCCTGTGAGGTAGAGAGGAGGAGAGGGTAAGGAGAAGTGTAGGATAGACGACTGAGAGCTCAGGAACAGAAGACTGTCAAGCACGGAATAGAACGCGAGGAAGGGACGGGAGGGTTTTCGCAGCGGGAAGAAGTGGTTGATGATGTGCGATGATACGCAAGGGTACCCTGGGACCTTTTCCATGCAAGATGGTGGTGGGGTGGCAGACTACTCGAGGATGATAGGTGGGGTGATCTAAGATTTTGTATGGGTAGGGTACCTGGATTGAGCTATACTGCCTGGCTTGCCATATCAAAGTAAGCCTTTTTTAACGGGTACTGGTTTGTCAACATCATTTCTCCAGGGGTGATGTAGGATATTGGTTGGGGTAGGGGTTAGGTCTCTCTGTTGATCAGTAGGGTAGTGTTAGTGAGTAGTCACGAGGCGACTTGTAAAGGACTTCGTGGGGTGGGGGTACATTTTGAAACAGGGTTACGGTAGGGGGTAACGGACTAGGTGGGTGACTCTTTTTTCACAAACCGGTGGTTTTTCAGTTTAAATGAGGGGTATTATAGAGAGGGGGTAGTGCAAGGGAAGGGCTAGAGAGGAGGGAGTAACAAATAGCTTAGGGGTGGGGTGAACCATTTGTGGGCAAAGGGTAGTGTAATCTGTACGCAAGAAGTTCTTTTTATATTCTAAAAAGATCTTGTTTACCACAGGACCCACCCTTCGATTTCCCCAAGAGGTCGAGGGTGGAGTACCCCCACCCCTTCGAATTATTCGGATCTCACCCCACATCGCTAGAGTCATCATCATCCGCTCCATGGTACCGTCTCATGATGCTGATGTCAGCACCCCCTTTCACGGACCACATATCTACGAAAAAGAGCTGTTTCACAAAAAGGGTTATGTAAGCATTCTACTTGAGACACTCGTTATGGCAGTTACAGGATCGTTGAAAAGTCGTTATATTCCCTGTCGACGAGATCTGTTTTTTTTTACCCTACCCCTACTTGTCTCTACCATGGCCTCCCTATGGAGACCCGTTCAATCCCGTGCATTTACCCACCCTTTTTCCTATATGACCCCCACCCCCTAATTCTATACACCACCCACCACCCAGCACTCCCTCTACACACCGTATCACTACCCCGTTTGACGAGCCTGTAACACCCCGGACAAGGAACCCCCCACTTTGACCCACCCCCAACCTCGATCATGCGGAGAACCGTACCACAACAATTACTCATTCTCAACTAGCTAGATACACGGTGTTTTTTTTTTCCAATAATACTGAAGACCCCACCCCTGAAATTTCCTGCTGGGCCAATCTACCCCTACTTTCGTATCATTGTACCCCCTGTTTGCTGGCTTTTGATGAGTACCCCCTGTAGCATTGTACCCCCTGTTTGCTCGCTTTTGCTGAGTACCCCCTGTAGGGCCGAGGATATCAGATTGGGGGTTGGGTATATGCTGTCCTCTTAGCTCGATGAAGACCACCCCTGTGTTTCAGATATTTGAATTGGGAGAGAGGAGGTGGGGGTAATCAAGGGGCGCTTTGACCACCAGGGACCGGGGGAAATAAGGGGGTTCCTGGGTAGTCTATTGTTCTCACAAACTTGTTCATGCAGGCGGGAAACGACGGGAGGGGGCGCTGGAGAATGCCGGAGGAAGGCGAGGAGAGCGGGAGAAGGAAGGGGGAGATGGTAGGGAGGAGAAGAATGGAGGCAAAAGAATGGCGAGGAGAGAGGGTGGGAGACCGAGATATGTCAGTATGCACACCCCGATCATGAAAGGATAGGTTGAGGGTGATGTGAGTTGAGATGGTGAAGAGTAGAACTTGTAGTCAAGATCTTGTTGTAGATTGTAAATGGGAGGATGGTTCAGAACAACTTCATGTTGTCACTCTCGTCGAGGATTGCGTTCAGTGGGATTGTTTTCAATATCACCCAAAATCTCTCAGCACATGACACTTGAATTGAACCAGCAATGTATTTGTTTTAGCTTACATCAATGAAAGATTCAATGTAGATCATACTGCATATTGATGAGAGAGAGAGAGTATGTGGGAGTATATTACATGCAACCCACAGATCATTCCTGACTGTTTCCCCCTTGATTGTTGTAGAAGTAGCCCTAGAAGTTTTGAAAGGCGATGTTTTTTAGTTTGAAAACGTAAGTCCATCTTTAGGAGAGCTTGAACCGTTGCTGGCCTTCTCATCTTACCCTAGCTTACCTGCTTTCTCAGCTTCACCAAAGGGGAGCTTATCACCAGCTTGATTCTCAAGAAAGCATCACGAAAGGAAAACCAGGAAGAAAGACGAGCTCTCACACCACCAGAGCTATACCGTGGAGAGCTGCTGTGCTGAGTGGAGTCTTCTGCCTGCTCGCATTCTTCTGCCACAAGTTTGGAGCTTCATTCTCTACATTCCTTCAAACCTCTCAGTCAGAAGCAAAGTCTTTCGCTCCAGCAAGCAATATGCAGCCTTCTATCGCAGATTTTTCGGCAGGACAATCCATATCCCAATTTGGCACTCAGATGTTTGCAACTTTATGCCGAGAACCCCAAGGGAACGTCGTTATCTCTCCGCTCTCACTCTCTCTTGCGCTGTCCATGGCAACAGCTGGAACTTCTCTGGGAGGGCAAGCTCATGCTCAGCTCTCAAGACTGTTGAACTGGCCGGATATATCCTCCAGTGCAGACAAGGAGAAGTTAGACTCAGAGATCCAGGACAAACAGAAAGCTTTCCTCCAATCCTCAAATAGCGACGATCCCCTGGTTGGTGTTTGTACTGTACAAAGATTCCCTGTAATCAAGTGAATGCAGGTAAAAATACTGATTGCCAACTCCGTCTGGACGGATTTGGATGTCAAAAAGGCGTTCATTACAACGTGTCAAGATACCTACCATGCGAAGCACCACGCAAGAGAAGGAGCAGCAGAGGTGAAGTTGCTTTCTTTAAGATTGGAGGTGTACTGATATGTCCAATGCAGATCAACAAGTGGGTGGAAGAAAAGACGTCAGGAATGATCAAGGTAGATGTTACCTCCTTTCTACACAGAGCTTTACGTTTAAACTTCCACAGGAAATCTTAAGTGAAGAACCGCATGGTCCAGCAGTTCTTCTGAATGTAGTCTACTTCAAAGGTCTCTAGCTCGACACAATCTTATTGTAGCGGTGATCTTGGAATGCCAGGAGCATGGAAGATCAAGTTTGACCCTTCCAAGACGAAGGAGTCCACCTTTGTTCGGTTCGATAAGGTGCGAGTCCCTTGCCAGCTCATGAGCCTTGGGCAAAAGAGATTGCGGGTACGATTTGAGATGCACGCCTTTTTCGTTTTGTGAAATCCTTGCCAAGTATGGCGAGACGTTGCACACGGAGTTTGTTTTCCTTCCATACGGCATCACAGGTAAGATGCTGCCGTGTCCTCGCTCCCTGTTGTGCTAACAACAAGGGCAGATCGTTATACAAGCATCATCATGTTGCCAAAGACCGAAGGTTTGCAAGGGATGGAAGGTTTTTTCTTGTTGACTACCTTGCCGATGATGCTGACGAGATGTCCAGGAACGATCAAAGAGATCAGTGCGCCAAACTTCTTTTCTGATGGAGCGTTCGCGAACGCCAGCGTCAAGTTGTTTCTTTCCGTCTACGAAATTTGAAGAAGGAGCTGACCAAGTTGATCAGACCACTCTTTGTTGAACTCCCTCGTTTCAAGATCGAGTACGGAGTCAAACCTCTGAAGCAAACTCTCAAGGTAACGAGCAAGCGCAATGAACATCAGTTTTCTCATGCTGCTTTATCAAGGCTATGAATGTCATCGCACCATTCGAAAGTGGCGGACATTTCAATAGAATGACAGAGGACGAGGTGAGACAGAAAGTTTCTGAGGAGGAGGAAGAACACGAGGGCGAGGGTGAGGGCAAGGATGAGGAGGACGAGGACGAGGACGAGGAGGTCATGGACAGGAACTAGATGATAACAGTATCAGACTTGTTCTTTGTTGTAACTTTCAACATTTTGCAGTCCGTCCACATTCATGATGTTTATCACAAAGCTGTCATCGAAGTGAACGAAGAAGGGACAGAAGCAGCAGGTTTCATTGCTATGGACAATGATTTTGATGATGCCTGTATTCTGACACGCGGCGAAACTATGAGTTGAATTTTTGTCCTTGTCCTCGCAGATGACGTTGCCCTCATTTTGCTTTGTTCTGTGATGTTTCCATCCAATCTTCCTGAAATTGGATGAAGTAACAAATTATTCATTTTTGACTGTATCAAAGATCTCAGAACTGTTTTTCTGCTCTTTACCTGATGTGCCACTCTGATGAACTCTTTGCTTGATTGGGGCAATGACATTGGTAATATTTTCTGCTTGGGTTTTGAAATTTCCTTTTCAGCTGCGACTGCTGTTGCAATGACCCGATCCTTGGTAATTCCGAAGACCCTCACGGTGATTTCTAAACCTTGTGTATTCTTATCCTTTCAGTTCGATAAACTTATTTGCATGGAATTTTGCTGTGCTGTTTGATGCCGTTTGATGCTTTTTTCTGTAGTGTTGTGTTGCGAATACGTTGTGTCAAAACGATCTGTCAAGTCATGATCTTGAATGTATTTATGGTTGTACTCTTCATACGTTTGACTTGGAAGATGATACATTTTGTTTTTCTTCTCTTCTCCTAATGGTCTTTCACTTGCAGTTTGATCGTCCATTTCTTTTCCTGGTCTACGACAATGTGAACAAAGTGCTCTTGTTCTGCGCAAAGGTAGTGCAATGATCATGAACAATGTTCTTCAACGATTTGACCAACGTGCTTGCAGGTTGAAGACGTGAAATAAGAAGTTGTAGTCGAAATGTGTTAGGAGTTGTTGTGATGATCAGATATCTCAGTACAATCGACAGTCATCAGACATCATTTGAACAAGTTCATTCACTCCTCCCCCTCCCCCTCCCTTTCCCCTCCTCCTCCTCCTCCTCCTCTCCTCCTCCTCTCCCTCCTCCTCCTCCTCCACCACCACCACCACTTCCTCCTCCTTCTCATCTACATCCCGTTTGGATCCCAATCACCTTCTCTTCTTGACTGCTTCCTCCTCTCCTCTATCACCCATCCCCTCCTCCCTTTCCCCTCCGTCTGTTGAAGATCGGCCCCTCCTCCTCCCTCCTCCTCCTCACGCGTATCCCAATACGGTTCTCAAGACTTTCTTGGTGTTTTCAGCATTTCTGAGCAGTCTGCGCGAAAACGTCAAAGAAGAGAGCGAGGGAGGGAGGGAGCAAGGGGAGGGAAGGAGGGGAGGGAGGGGAGGGAGGGAGGGAGGGATCGAGGGAGGGAGGGGGAGGAGGGGAGGAGAGGGGGGCAGGGAGAGGACAGGGGGGGGGGAAGGAGGGTGGAGTGGGGGGGAGTGAAGGGGAGGGAGTGGAGGAAGGTTCGTTTTACC